CACAACATTACTTTTCATTGCTTTGCTGATGACTTTCAGATATATCTCCCACTCATCCCGGATTCAGCTGTTTCTTTAATGGCCTACTTAGCTGATTTAAAGCAATGGATGTCAATTAATTTTATGAAATTGAATGACCTGAAGACAGAGATTTTAGTTTTTGGCAGTGGAGACCTGTTAAAGGGTGCGGTGAGCCCACTTGGTTCCCTTTCAGATTTTGTAAAGCCTTATGTGAAAAACCTGGGTTTTTTTATGGATGGTTCTTTTAAATAGGAAAGACAGATAAGTGCAGTGGTCCAGTCTGGCTTTCATCACTTGAGGCAACTAGCAAAGGTTAAGTGCTATTTGCAACATGTTATTCAACTATTTGTCTCCTGTCGACTAGATTACTGCAATTCACTGTACTATGGATTAGGGCATTCCTCCTTAAACCACTTGCAACTGGTGCAAAATGCAGCAGCCCGCCTTTTAACAGGTACAAGGAAGCATGATCACATCTCTCCAGTGCTTGCTTCCCTTCACTGGCTGCCAGTGCATTACAGGATTCAGTTTAAATTGTTGCTTTTTGTTTATAAATCAATTTATGGTCTGGCCCCTCCTTATATAGATGATTTATTGCCACCCTACACTCCTGCCAGGAATTTGAGGTCAGGCTCACAGTTTTTATTGTCAGTTCCAAAGGCTCGCCTAAAGACTAGAGGAGATAGAGCTTTTTCTGTGGCCGGTCCTACACTCTGGAACAGTCTTCCTCTGCAGATCAGGACCTCACAAAGTCTGGATGTCTTTAAGTCCTTGCTTAAAACTCAATTATTCAACCTGGCTTTTATGTAGGATGATTTTATTTTGTCATTGTCATTCTTTCTCATTTTAATTGATTTTATAATTGTGTGATGTAATGCTGTTTTTATCCTAACTTGCTGATTTTTATGGTTTTATGGTTTTTAGTTATACTTTTTTGCAATTTTATCTTCTGTGTTGTACAGCACTTTGGGTTGCTGAAGCAATAATAAGTGCGCTTTAGAATAAAATGTGACCTTGACCTCTAATCTGTTTTTTTGCTTCAAATGTAAATCATGAAATCTAAATGATTATACGGAAATCTGTCTCTAATGTTTTCATTGGCTCTGCTGAACTCTCTCACACACATAGGGAGCCTAAAGTCTCCTCCCTTTCCAGTAGGCTCTTGGGTACCCAGAAGAACACAAAAATGAATGCAAGTCAACGGGGCTAAAAGAGCTATTTTCTAATCTACTTTGCCTTACACCCTGGATCACACATATGTTGTACTGGAATTTTAATGAAAACTTATGATGGGTGTTTCGACCACACCTGTCACCTACTTTGAGATTTATCAGCTTGTAAAAGTTTGTAATTAGCATGACTACATCAGCACTTCGCATTTATGACGTCACCACAGAATCTCCTCTCCCCTAGCGTAGCTGCTACTTACCACATGGCCAGGTTTATGATGATTCTTTCCTCCTGAAGAAAGGATTTTAAGTTTGCTGAACTTAAAACCATTTTCCCTCAGTTTTCTCCGTGTCTGGCTTGATGACGTCACTTCCGTGATGCGCATTTGTAGTCCTGGAGTTATTTTCACACAAAACCTAAAATAGCATTTTCCCCAGTTTGAAAATAAGAGAGTTCTTGGTATAAAAATGTGTCTTTAAAATTCATGGACATCATATGTGAAATACATGGCACAAAACAAGCAGAATTAGAAAATAGCGTTTTTAGCCCCATTGACTTGTATTCATTTATTCATTCTTGCAGGGACCCAGTAAGCCTAAGTCACGCCCAGTAAAGTAGACGGGCGTGACTTAGGCTCCCTATTGTTTTAGAAGCAAACACACACACACTCTGCACACAGTCAACAGGAAGTTTCATCCAGGTCCCAGAGAGCCACCTGCCTGTAAGAAGAATGAGAGCTGTGGAGAATTGCTTCTTTTTTTTTTTTAAGAAAAAACTGAGAAACAGGCCTGCTGATGTGTCGGTGTCTGTGCTTTTGGTTTTCATTCTGACAAGTTAAAGAATCTGATGAACTTCCAGCTGCTCTGCCCAACAAAGGCCTCTGATCATGGACTCGGATCTGCAAGACAATGAGACAGCACAAAGTTGTGTCTCAGTCAGACTGTCTCTGCGGGGTTTTGTTTTTAGAGCTCTTAAAGCAAACTGTGTCGACTGTGTTGTCTTCAGACAATTATTGAGCTTCCTATCCACAGGTGTGCAACCTGAGGAAACTCAAACGTGGCCATCACACAAATCCATATCACCCGCTGACTGTTGTGAATGCGTTTATTCCTGCAGAGCGTGAGTGTTCCTGGACAGTGTACATCTAAACAAACGCACAACCTAGAGAGGACTGATATTTAAGCTGCAGGGATGGATGAGAAACTATGAAAGGTTTCACAGTATTCTTCAGTTCAGTGCCACCGCTCAGTAATCAGAGGTAAACAGATCAATAGGCTGACAAAAACTAAGCAGTAATTATTTGGGTGATCACTTGTCCTTGTCCAACAAAAACATTTGAATTGAGTGGTTTTTGCAGGCACAAGAATTCATGGATGGATGGATGGATGATGCATGGACAAATGGATGGATGGATGGATGGATGGATGGATGGACAAATGGATGGATAGATGGAGGGAGGGACGGACGGACGGACGGATGGATGGATGGATAGACGGATGGATGAATGCATTGATGGATGAATGAATGTATGGATGGATGGATTAATGCATGGATGGATGAATACATGGATAGATGGATGAATGCATGAATGGATGGACAGATGGTTGGTTGGATGAATGCATGAATGGGCGGATGGATGGATGGATGGATGGATGGATGGATGGACGATTGAATTAATTAATTAATGAACCGATGGACGGATGGATGGACAGATCGATGAATGAATGGGTGGGTGAATGGACAATTGGATGGATGAATGCATGGATGGATGGATAGATGGATGGGTGGACATATGGATGGTTGGTTGGATGAATGCATGAATGGGCAGATGGATGGATGGATGGATGGATGGATGGATGGACGGACGGACGATTGAATTAATTAATTAATGAACAGATGGATGGATGGATGGATGGACGGATCGATGGACAGATCGATGAATGAACGGATGGGTGAATGGACAATTGGATGGATGGACAGATGGATGAATGCATGGATGGATGGATAGAGGGATGGGTGGACATATGGATGAATGCATGAATGGATGGATGGATGGATGGATGGATGGATGGATGGATGGATGTGTTCATCAGCAGAAATGACGGGAACCATAAACACAAAACTTTTCACGTGCCTGCTTGTTCTGACTCGGATCAACGGGCTCCACAAAACAGGTTTATAGCAACAGAACGTTTTCATCTTTTCTCTCTCAGAGGGTGATCAGCTTGGGCTTATTGGTCTATCATCTTAGTTTTACGAATACATCAACACAGACATGAACAATACAGAATAGGTGCAGGAGATCTGAGTCCTGACAGAACAGGATTAGATTTTTTGGTGTTTTCAGGAGCAGGAGAAAACTGTCCTTGAGGGAAATCAAACACTTGTCTAGCCAGCTAACTGTACACACAGAGGTCTCCTCGTCATTTATTAAATTTCCTCCTTCTGCCTGGAATCTGTCCATAGATGTGTCACTTGGCTTTTATGTGTTTGCACTCATTACTATGCTGGGAATTGGGATTTCTGTAGATGTGTGCTGTCGTCTTTTCACAGCCATGCAGACAGACTCATGAATACACATCTGCAGAAATGAAAAGACCAGGGTGTCCTGATGGTAATTAGAAGTGGTAAATCCCACTAAAGGTCAGGTTAGTTGTTTTCTGTGACAGTTTGTAATGCTCATAAGTGCTTTGATTTAAAGTAATGTGGATATGCATTACCTATCCACTGACTGGTAGAACTTAGAATTAGTTATTTTTTCCTTCTACACTCTTGTTTTCACTGCTGTTTAATAATTTTGTCTGGAAAAAAAGTGACAGGAAATGCAATGAAAGTTGTATTTTTTTTTATTCTGAACAACATAATGCTAAAAACATTAAAGAAGAGATGACCATTGATAAGTGTTTTTGAAGTCAACATGCAGAAAGCAATGAAGTTCAAAATCAGTTCCTTGACCATTTGTAATTTGTCTAACAAGACCAGAGTTCTGAATTTGACAGACATCAGATACAAATGCTTTTGACATCACGTAAGGAAAAACTGACTGTTGGAGACAAAATGCAAACGGTAATCACCAAGGAGTTTCCAAAGTGTGTCAAAACCAGGCTTCTACATTTTCGTCACAAGTTTCAGGGTCTCTGTGTTGTGTTGCTTGGATTGTGAGCATATTCAATAAACAGTGAGTGAACATGCTCAAATAGCCACTGAGCCATCACAGGTCTGTGGAACCCGTCTCAAAACTTCTCAGAGACAATCATGTGACAACAGTGAAACTAACTCGTGTTGTGGGCGTGAGGAAATAAAACGATTAGGATGAGTTGCAAACAAGTTGAGGCCTGATCAAACCCCTGAAATTATTGTATTGTTATTGTATTGTAATGTCACGATTGTTTTCCTACAGATCTGACATAGCTTACTTGTTGTGCTTACTTGAGAAATTTGATTATAACTGGAAATGTTGGTGTGTTTTTTACAAATGTGTCCTTCATAGTTGCAGTAATGGACAAGTAATTTCAATACAAACTGAAAATAAACATTTCAGACTCCAAAAAGTCCACAGCCTGATTCTCATGTTTACTAGAGGCATGTAGACAGTAAATGTGTTTATTTGCTCAACTCCTGATATTTATCGGTGTGTGTGTGTGTGTGTGTGTGTGTGTGTGTGTGTGTGTGTGTGTGTGTGTGTGTGTGTGTGTGTGTGTGTGTGTGTGTGTGTGTTTGCATGCACATGCGTGCATGCACATGCGTGCATGTGTGTGCGTGTGCATGCATGTGCATGTGTGTGTGTGTGTGTGCGTGCGTGATTTTAGGCTGCATCCGGCGCCCTCAGCAGTCTGGGCCACGTGTACACGGCCATAGGGGACTACCCCAATTCTCTGGCCAGCCACAAACAGTGTGTGCTGTTGGCTCGGCAGACCCAAAGTCAGCTCTCTGAGGCTCGCCAACTGGGCAACGTGGGTGCTGTTTACACGGCGCTCGGCGACTTCACCAACGCTGTGCAGTGCCATGAGCAGCATTTAGACATCGCTAAGGTCAGTAACTCATTCTGGGGGTTTAGATGTTTTCTTTATTTTTAAGCTTTTATTTAAGAGTTTGTTCAGTAAGTCTAAATGCCAGGTTCACTGAGAAACCATTTTTACTTGTTATTTTTTAAATGTAATTGATCTCCCTGAGTTTAACATGCAAGCTATATGTGAAAATAATCTTCTACCCCTGTTTCCTGCATTCAGTGGCACAACTACTTACTTTCAGAGGGGTATGCAGACACATAATAGGTGCCCCCCATAAACACTGTATCCTTCTGCTCCCTGGAGTTTTATTTACTAAAGAAAATAGTTCCTTTTGAGGTTCTAAAACGGAACTGGACTGCTTTATAACATCTCATCTCAGGCGTTTTTATCAATTCAAACTGAAAATGCATTAATTAAAGCTTTCAAATAATGATATTGCTAATCGCTAATCTGAGCTAATTCGCAAATGTTCCACCTTCGCTGCCTGCCGTCCACATGCAAAATGTTTCCAGCATCAGGATGCATATCGTTTCAGAGCTGCACTGTTGAAACCTCATCCGTTTTAAATAGTCCTGTTTCAAATCTCTGCAGATAGTTTAACATGAGTTCATAAATGTGATAAAAACAATTGGGCTTGCACTGGAAAATCATTTAGGGAGAGGATGGGAGTGTCATGTTCTGTGTCCCTTGTCCCCAGCCCCTCCAGTTCCCACTCCAGGTTCTCCTTTTGTATCTCATAGCGCCCTCATGTGTCCGTTGTCTGCGTCTCATTATGTGTCTCTTTGTGTTCTTCATGTGTCTTCTGTTGTGGCCCTTTAGATCATTCCTCCCAGGTCCTGTGTTCAGTCATCCCCAGCCCCTCCAGGTGTTCCTTCACTTTCTGTATCCTTGTAGCTCCAGCCTTTTTTGTCCCCAGCTCGGTGTGTGTGTGTGTGTGTGTGTGTGTGTGTGTGTGTGTGTGTGTGTGTGTGTGTGTGTGTGTGTGTGTGTGTGTGTGTGTGTGTGTGTGTGTGTGTCCTTCCCAGTCAGGTCTGGTGTCCTCCTCTGCTCCTCTTCTCATTATTGCTTTCACCTGTGCCAGTTCCCCACACACCTGCTCCTCATCTCCTATCACTCCAGCCCCAGTGTATAAAGCCCTTGTCTCATTGTTCTTGTCGGTTCATTGTTGTTTGTCAGTGTTGTTTTGGTGCTCTGGGTGAGCTTCCTGTCCCGAACCCAGTTTGTGCTCTAAGTGGACTTTGTTCTCATATTCTGGATTTTTGGATTTTGGCTCCCTGCCTTTTTTGGATTTAATTTTGTTCATCCTAAAAATAAAATGATTTTTAAATATATCTACTCCTGCCTGGTGTCATCCTGGGTTCTGCATTTTGGGGTTCTAATAATCCCCCCAAAACGTGACAGAATGGACCGACCAACACAGAAACCAGCAGAACCCGGGACTCTACCACCAGACCACTACACGTACTGTGGCGACCCAGATGGATGCCGTATCTTCGTAGAAGCATGTGCTCGTCTGGACTCTGTTTCCTCGGATTTCGAGAGGCTCTCCATTATGTTCTTCAGTTTGGGTGGTAGCGCCCAACGTTGGGCTGCGGACTATTTCGAAGATCACCCATTCAAATCTGTGCCATTTTGGACATTCGCTAAGGAGCTACTACGGACCTTTGACCGTTCCAAACTCTCAGAACCGGATTCATCTCTTTCTCCCCTGAACCAGTTGGCACCGTCTCAGCACCTCTGATGGGCCAAATCACCACACCCTCACCTGATCCCGACAACGCTGCCTCTTCATCCCTGGTGGGTTGTTATTCCTCCACATCTTCTGTTTCTGCCATCTCCACACCTCCGTTGACCCAAGACCCCCCATGTCGATGACGCCGCAGCCGCCGTCAGAGGTCTTCTGGGGTCAGAGCTTCACCTACAGTTCAGGTGTCTCCTGCACGTACACCTCAGCCCAAGCTCCACTCGCCACCATCACCAGTTCAGCCCGATCTCCTCCTCATCCCAGAGGCCCCGGTTCTGCAGTCCAAGTCTGAGCTCCACCTGCCTTCATCGCATCCGGCGGTGGTCCCCGAGGTCGCACCATATCCAGTTCCAGCGGTGGTCCCAGAGGTCGCACAATGCCCAGTTCCAGCGGTGGTCTCGGAGGTCACACCGTGCCCAATTCCAGCTGTGGTCCCGGAGGTCGCACCGCATACTGACCCGGCAGTGGTCCCGGAGGGCGCACCACATCCTGTTCAGGCGGTGGTCCCGGAGGGCGCATCGCATCCTGTTCTGGCGGTGGTCCCGGAGGACGCATCGCATCCTGTTCCGGTAGTGGTCCCGGAGGACGCATCGCATCCAGTTCCGGCGGTGGTCCCGGAGGATGCACTGCATCTGTTCCAACCCGTCCACGAGGCTCCGGTCCAGCCCTTCCACAAGGCTCCAGTCCAGCCCTTCCACGATGCTCCGGTCCAGCCTGTCCATGAGGCTCCGCCCCCAGCCCAGCCTGTCCACGAGGCTCCGCCCAGTCCGGCACCCCCGGGCCAGAGGTCGACGCCCCCGAGCCAGAAGTCGACGCCTCCGGTCCAGGGGTCGACGCCTCCGGTCCAGGGGTTGACGCCTCCGGTCCAGGGGTTGACGCCTCCGGTCCAAGGGTCGACGCCGCCGGTCCAAGAGTCGACGCCGCCGGTCCAAGGGTCGATGCCTCCTGTCTCGAAGTCAATGCCTCCTGTCTCGAAGCCGACACCTCCTGAGCCACCACCGGCAGTGTCTACGTCCATGTCTTCAGAGTTCCAGTGTCAAGAGTCCCCATCTCAAGTGTTCCAGTCTCTCGAGGCCCCGTCTCAAGTGTTCCAGTCTCTCGAGGCCCCGTCTCAAGTGTTCCAGTCTCCCGAGGCCCCGTCGCAAGTGTTCCAGTCTCCCGAGGCCCCGTCTCAAGTGTTTCCCGAGGCCCCGTCTCAAGTGTTTCCCAAGGCCCCGTCTCAAGTGTCTCCCGAGGCCACGTCTCAAGTGTCTCCCGAGGCCCCGTCTCAAGTGTCTCCCGAGGCCCCGTCTCAAGTGTCTCCCGAGTCCCCGTCTCAAGTGTCTGCCGAGTCTCCAGTGTTCCAGTCTCAAGTGTCTGCCGAGTCCCCAGTGTTCCAGTCTCAAGTGTCTCCCGAGTCCCTGTCTCCAGAGACCCTTCCTCGTCCTCTGAATTCCCTTCCTCCTCCTCCTCTGAAGCCCCCGATCCCCAGAGTTTCCTGTTCCCGGCTCCTGGTTCGCCGTTGCCGGCCCTCAAGACTTCCCTGGTCCCGCCTCCTGGTTCCCCGTCGCCGGCCCCCAAGACTTCTCTGGTCCCGCCACCTGGTTCCCAGTCACCGGCCCCCAAGACTTCCCTGGTCCCGCCTCCTGGTTCCCCGTTGCCGGCCCCCGAGACTTCTCTGGTCCCGCCACCTGGTACCCCGTCACCGGCCCCCAAGACTTCCATGGTCCCGCCTCCTGGTTCCCCATCGCCGGCCCCCAAGACCTCTCTGGTCCCGCCTCCTGGTACCCCGTCGCCAGCCCCCAAGACTTCCCTGGTCCCGCCTACTGGTTCCCTGTCGCCGGCCCCCAAGACCTCTCTGGTCCCGCCTCCTGGTACCCCATCGCCGGCCCCCAAGACTTCACTGGTCCCGCCTCCTGGTTCCCCGTCGCCGGTCCCCCGGGGTCTCATGTTCCCTCCTCGCCCGCCCTTGTGGGTTGTTTTTGTTTGGTCCCCCCTCTCCCGCCCTGTGGTTTCTCATGCCCTGTTTTGTCTTTGTTTTTTGTTTGTGGTTTTGTCTTTTTCTGGTCTTGTGCGTCTGGTATCCGCCCTTGAGGGGGAGTTACTGTCATGTCCTGTGTCCCTTTGTCCCCAGCCCCTCCAGTTTCCACTCCAGGTTCTCCTTTTGTATCTCATAGCGCCCTCATGTGTCTCATTATGTGTGTCTTTGTGTTCTTCATGTGTCTTCTGTTGGGGCCCTTTAGATCATTCCTCCCAGGTCCTGTGTTCAGTCATCCCCAGCCCCTCCAGGTGTTCCTTCACGTGCTGTATCCTTGTAGCTCCAGCCTTTTTTGTCCCCAGCTCGTTTTGTGTGTGTGTGTGTGTGTGTGTGTGTGTGTGTGTGCGTGTGCGTGTGCGTGTGCATGTGCGTGTCCTTCCCCAGCTCGGGGTGTGTGTGTGTCCTTCCCAGTCAGGTCTGGTGTCCTCCTCTGCTCCTCTCCTCATTATTGCTTTCACCTGTGCCAGTTCCCCACACACCTGCTCCTCGTCTCCTATCACTCCAGCCCCAGTGTATAAAGCCCTTGTCTCATTGTTCTTGTCAGTCCATTGTTGTTTGTCAGTGTTGTTTTGGTGCTCTGGGTGAGCTTCCTGTCCCGTCCCCAGTTTGTGCTCTAAGTGGACTTTGTTCTCATGTTCTGGATTTTTGGATTTTGGCTCCCTGCCTTTTTTGGATTTAATTTTGTTCATCCTAAGCATAAAAGGATTTTTCTTTATATATCTACTCCTGCCTCGTGTCATCCTGGTTTCTGCATTTTGGGGTTCTAACCATCCCTCCAAAACGTGACAGGGAGTGGCTGTTTTACAGATACAGGTTGAGAAAAGCAATCATCTCATAAACAAATGAGATGACCACCTGATTATTTGTAAAACATTGTGTGATTTCGTGATATGTAAATGTGTCAAATCTGCTATCTAGGGCATGTGTCCACATCTGGAGTCCAAACATCTGTTCATTCAATCAGTGCACACATTAGTATTTTTTATTAGGTATCAAACTTAGTTTTTAATATTCTGAAGAGGAGACTTTTGTTTGAGAAGTTAAATATAATTTCTTGTTTTTGCTCCAGAACTACTCAACATCCTCCAGTCTAACTTCAGTGTAAATGATACCTTTGACAGACTTTAGAGAACCGGCGGGAGGAGGCGCGGGCGTACAGTAACCTGGGAAGTGCCTACCACTCTCAGCGGGACTTTGACAAGGCCATATCGTACCACACAAGAGTTCTGGAGCTAGCACAGGAGCTGGAGGACAGAGCCATCGAGATGAGGGCATACGCCGGTCTGGGGCACGCTGCCAGGTGCATGCAGGTTGGTGCAAAATCATTTGAAAACTTTAATGATTTCTGAATCATGATACGGTTAAAAAGAAAAGAGATTTGTTTTGATGATTGTCAGGACTTGGATCGAGCCCGCCAGCACCACCAGAATCAGTTGAAGATTGCTCAGGAGCTGCAGGACAGAGCAGCACAGGGACGAGCCTCTTCCAACCTGGGTAGGTTTAACCAGCCAGGAGCTGGGGTTTCTATCTCCCTGCTTTAGCTTTAAGAACCATGCTTCTAAGATCAGGTCTCCTATTTAATGAGCATATAAAGCTGTAATCTTCATGTGAAATACGTTAGAAATTGTTGCTTTTAACAGCTTAGCCATTCCTTGAGACCGAGTTTGGTGAATGATGTTTTTAACAAGAGTTCAAGAAAATAAAGCTCCTGGTTGAAGGTCTTGTTAACTCCTCAGTTTTCCTTTTCTGTAATAATACTTCCTTCATTCATCCATGCTGCTGATCACATCCATGTTACTCCCACTGTGGGACTGTGATGACACCATCTAAAATAATCTCATCATCCACTGCCCTAAAAACCTGTCACTCATCCAGGAACACACTCGTTCACACTCACCACTTTGATCTCTATAAACCAGTGGGCTGGCCCTCCCTTCATTTCTGAAGACTCCATCACTGGTTGATTGTTGTCTAAAAGACAGTCCATATCTGGCTTTGAATGTAATGAGTCTGTCTCATATATTAGTTTCACCTTTTGTGCTGAAATACTGACATAAATGAACTTTTGCACCAAAGCCTTTACTATTATGGGCCACAGCTCCTTCTGATTCACAGCTGCATGTGACTAGGACAACACAAAATAACTCCAAACTCACAGCTTTGACCATCCTCACACTTCCCATGAGCAAATGTTTAGAATTCCTGTGAGAAACTTGGGGCTTCCACTGAGAGACTACAAATCTATGGCTTAATGTGTTGGCTTAGGGTTAGCAATTATAGAAGATGAGTTTAAATGGATTTTCGACAAACAGCAACAAGATGTACACAAAAACTGTAACATCACACACAATGTTAGTTCAGTAAACGTCTGCTATGAACTGTGATCAGCCACAAGGTTAAAACTACATAAGGGGAGGTAAAGATTAGTTATTTGGTACAAGTATTGTCATTTAAACCATTTAGAATTCATGAAAATGGGGAAGTATAAGTATTTGAAAATTGGAGGCTCATTATGAGGTCTAAAGAACAAGCTGAACTGAAAAAATGTGAATTTTCCAGTCTTCTGGTGCTTTTCTGTTCTTTTCCTGGAGTCATGAGGTGTGGATGGAGACTGAAAGAACAAGATCCTGGATGCAAAATGAGGAGTTTCTGAGCTCAGCCTAAGCGATGAGGAAAGAAGAAGCAGCATCCTGTGTGACAGCATGTTTTCTTTTGCACTTGCAGGTCGTTTTAGGACCGTAGACACTGAAGTCTGATGGCTGTTGCATTTAATTTATGATCTGGAAAACCAGATTAAGAAAGGAAGACTCAGCCTAAAGTCAGATTTGACTACAAATGCCCGCAGTGTGAATGTAGCACAAGGGGTAGACTATGAGCCAGGTCTTAGCCAAAATCAATGCCTGAACTCACAAATGTGCTTCTGGAAGAATGATAAGCTATTCCCATCAACACAGTACACCTCACAAGAACCCACCCAGAAGCTTTGGGAGCTGCAAAAGATGAATCAACCCCATGTTGTGTAAGATTATTTAAAAGCAGCTGACCCAGTTGTTTTGGAACTGTAGTATCTTAAAACACCTTTGTCCTCCCCAGGTGGTGATGGATAGTGTTTCTGGAAAAAGGAATGTTAGGGTTTCTGTCTTGGATGTGTTGCCGCCACCACCTGACCATCGATAAATGGACAAAAATGATTGGGAGTAGCACCTAAGGAGTGGTGTGACCCTCCTACCTGATAGTAGGAGGTACAGCGGGTTGTCCAGTAAACGGAAAGTTGCAGGTTCTATCCCGGCTCTGCCAGAGAATTCTGATGTTGTGGCCTTGGGCAAGACACTCAACCCACCTTGCCTGCTGGTGGTGATCAGAGCCTCGCCTCTGTCAGTGTGCCCCAGGGCAGCTGGGGCTACAAAGCTCATCATCACCAAGGTGTGAATGTGTGTCAAAGGATGAATGATACACAGCAGTGTAAAGCTGCACAAGTGAAGTTCATTTATCATTTACAATAACCAAGGTTTACTGATGAACCTCCGGAGTGAATCTAAATGTATATCTGGTGCAGCACGAGCTTCAGAGACTGACTGATCACCACTCCAAAAATTCATTGTTCTGATCTTCAGAAACTAAACCTCCCACCTCTGGAGTGTTTTAATATTCTGTTTTACATCCTGGGTCTAAAAGCAGAGCAGGTTTGCTCTCCTGTGTCTGACGAGTGGAGGAGTTTCTCAGGTCTCGTTGAGCTCTTCTCTTGTTCAACATTGACCTACTTTGTCACTGCTGTCGCCACTCGATCGACTGACTGGGCTGTTGTCCCATACCAGAACTATTCAGTTTTCATTGATCTGCAGCAGGAAGCAGACAGATGAAGCCCTTTCCTAAAAAGTTTAATTCAGTTGTGTCAGTCGTGTAAACATGTAATGTCTTAAACAGCTCGCTCATCATGCTAGACAATGTGAGACTTCACCTCTTCTAAATTACAGGACTCCAGCAGCTCCTTTCTGAACAATCAACACTCATGATTTTTTAAGCAGGTTTTGATTTCTGCGTCCACGGTGATATCTGAGACACGGTGAATCTGACTCCACCGCTGAGTGTACAGCACAATACCGTGCATGTGCCTCACGCATGCAGACATTGGGACACTAGGAGAGAAGATACCTTCTAACATAACACCATCAAACTTATACCTACAAGGAAATTTGACTGTAATTCAACTATAGAGTCTTGAAATTATGACCCAAGACTGTCATTTTAGTCTGGCCTGAAAGATGAGGGAGAATTGTTTTTCAAATCATGCAAAATCTTCAATGTCACAGTTAAAGCAGGATAATTCACGTTTAACTGTGACTTTCCATTGAATGTGTAAGTGTCAGGGTTGTTAGCACTGGGCGTGCAGTAGTGCGTCTTGGACACGTCCCAATAGTCATTACCTGTGAAACGTCTGCAGTCAAAGTAAAAAGAACAGAAAACAGACCCCAGACCTTTTGGACGCATGCAGCTGACTTTCTTGCTTATTATTATTATGTTTTTATTGTGTGAACTGGCAAAATCACACGTGATCTTGCTATTCTCTTGTGATTTTCTGATCTCACAGGACCAGCTCCGTGGAATTAATTCGCTGCTGATGTGTCGTAAATAGTAGGTAGGGATGGGCCACTGAGGTTGTGGTGAAAACATTACAACATTTATGCATCTGGTTGAAAGCCCGAGTTAGGCAGCAGCAGCTGTAGCATTAGCGATGAGTGGATTCCCTGGTTTGTTCTGATTGAGCAGATCAAATCTGGATTGGTAAGGCAGTTCTGTTCTGATTCATTTTCTGGTTCCAGTTAAAACCAGATATATTTGTTCTGTCCAGGGGTGGATGAGATCCGCCTGGAATTCCTTAAGGCTCTGGATGTTGTGGGACTGTGTTGGCTTACGCGGCTCTACAATATTTCGTGGACATCAGGGGAAGTCCCACTGGACTGGCAGACCGGGGTGGTGGTCCCCTTATTTAAAAAGGGGGACCGCAGGGTGTGTTCCAACTACAGGGGATCACACTCCTGAGCCTTCCTGGTATGGTCTATTCAGAGCTTCTGGAGAGGAGGGTCTGTCCGATTGTTGAACCTCAGATTCAGGATGAGCAATGTGGTTTTCGTCCTGGCCGTGGAACACTGGACCAGCTCTATACCCTTTGGGGGATCCTGGAGGGTGCGTGGGAATTTGCCCAACCAGTCTACATGTGTTTTGTAGATTAGGAGAAGGCGTTTGACCACGTCCCTTGAGGGGCACTGTGGGGGGTGTGCCAGGAGTATGGGGTACTAGGCCCTTTGATAAGGGCTGTTAGGTCCCTGTATGACCGGTGTCAGAGCTTGGTCCGCATTGCCGGCAGTAAGTCGGACTCGTTCCCAGTAAGAGTTGGACTTCGCCAAGGCTGCTCTTTGTCACAGATTCTGATCATAACCTTTAAGTGTTGAGGGCATCCGTTTTGGTGGCCTGAGGATCAGGTCTCTGCTTTTGCAGATGATGTGGTTCTGTTGGCTTCATCAGAACGTGATCTTCAGCTGTCGCTGGAGCGGTTCGCAGCCGAGTGTGAAGCAGCTGGGATGAGAATCAGCTCCTCTAAATCTGAGACCATGGTCTTGATTCAGAAAAGGGTAGAATGCCTTCTCCGGGTCAGGGATGAGGTCCTGCCCCAAGTGGAGGAGATTAAGTATCTCGGGGTCTTGTTCATGAGTGAGGGAAAACTGCATCTGCAGTGATGCGGGCGTTGTACCGGTCTGTTGTGGTGAAGAGTCAACTGAGTAAGAAGGCGAAGCTCTCGGTTTACCAGTTGATATACATTCTTACCCTCACCTATGGTCATGAGCTTTGGATAGTGAACAAAATAATGAGATTGCAGATACAAGCAGCCGAAATGAGTGTTCTTCGCAGAGTGGCTGAGCTCTCCCTTAGAGACAGGGTGAGAAGTTCAGTCATCGGGGATGGGCTCAGAGTAGATTTGCTGCTCCTCCATATCAAGAGAAACCAGTTGAGGTGGCTCGGGCATTTGCTCAGGATGCCTCCTGGACGCCTCCCTGGTGAGGTTTTCCAGGCACGTCCAACTGGGAGAAGGCCTAAAGGTAGACCCAGGGCACGGTGGAGTGACTATGTCTCTCACCTGGCCAGGGAATTCCTTGGGATTCCCCCGGAAGAACTGGCCCAAGTAGCTGGGGGGAGGGAAGTCTGAGCCTCCCTGCTTAGGCTACTGCCCCCGCAATCCGACTCTGCATAAGTTACAGTGGATGGATGGATGGATGGATGGATGGATGGATGGATGGATGGGTGGATGGGTATTTGTTCATTATCTCTCTGTACCAGTGAAAGCTCATGCACTTAATTAGATGAAACATAGGTTGCAGGTTCCAATCCCAGCTGTGGCCTTTCTACATGCATTCAGTATGTTCTACCTTGTGTGTGGGTTTTCTCCAGGTGCTGCCACGTAACAGTAATAAATGATGAGCAGAGCACGTTAGACACGA